AGCGCTTTGCAACATCAGCCACAGACCTTGCAATGGCAATCAAGGACTCGCGACCTTGCAATGGTTATCAAGGATTATGCTATAGCTCTGACACCATGTTATGAATCCGTAATCATATGTATGTTTCAATTGAGTATCACAACATAATATATACAATTTGGTCACAATCAATTCCAAGATTGTAGTGATCTTAATTTTGGAATGTACAACAAACTATCCAAATCACTATTCAAAACTATAGGAAATATAACGTGTGATATCAATCTCAATCTACAAATATATAGAAAATACAGCATGTGATATCAATCACATTCCATAGTTACGATATCACAATCTCAATCACTCAATATTTTCCTCCGGCTCCCTTCCAATAGGGGTGGCGATGGACCCAGACTTGACACGGAACATGAGGGGTAGACCCAATATGGCTCTAGGTATGGGTTCAAAAATCAGACATGGAGCAAGGTCCAAATCTTGGACCCGAGTACTACTCGGGTTTGGGTCCTGTTCTATTTTTTCGACCACCAATTTATGAAATATATTCAAATATAGTTACATATATAGATTTTTTATTTTTTAGGTCGAGTCTTGTCAGGATACGACCTAATCCATTAGCACTCCTACCTCCCAAGGAAATTCCTTGTTATGTTTTCAAGCCTCTTTATGATCACATTTGGCTCCTTGTAAATAGGCAATAGAGTAATTTGGTAAGTTCAAAAGAGTTGATTCAATCAAAATAAATTCATCATCATGTTGGAGTGCTTCCACTCAATCTGTGCGTTTTGTGATAAATGGTATCTAGCATTGCATGAATTCAACTACTTTCAAAATCTTTCAATAATTTCCTGGCATGATATCACTTCATAATATTTTAAGAGGCAAAGATTATTCATCTGAGTTGAGACGGTAGAAGTAACACGTATCTTTAAATTTTACTTGGAGATGTAGTTACAGTGTTTGGAACCTTATAATGGCCTGAAAATCTATTGTCATCCATACTTATAAAATTTAAATGTTCAAGTAGGATATAGTTCGAGCAGATCTATATACACTTGAAAATCTTGAAAATAAATTGTTTAGATAATTTGTTAAAAGATACATTATTTTTACGATGTTATTCTTTTTTTTCTTTGTATTCATATATTTTGAGGTTGAGATGATCAATTGGAGTGTTTTCCAACCTCATAACATATCTTCGAGATGGATGTTGAAGTGCACCTTGCTTCAACAAATGCAAGGTTGACCTTATATAAATCTTTATGTAAATACTATAAGAGAGCCAACTAATAATTTTTATAATAATTAATTAAGAGCATGTCTTGCTGGAGCACATTGCACACTTACTCCCTTGAGTAAATAACATATTTTAAGAGTTCATTTCTTAATCCGGAATTTTGGGATCCATTTTAGAAAAACCATATATAGAAATTTTTTAAAAAATTAAATTTAAAATTTCCAAAGGCATAGATAAAACTATCAACAAATTAAATGGTCTTTCATTCAATCTGACGCCATTATTTCTTTTAAGCATATACGGAATGTGGCTTTTCGTTTTTCTTTCTTTTCTTAGGTGGACTGCAAATTGGGGAGGGTTATATGTGCGAAATTGGAGTCCTAAGAAGAACTCCTAAATAAGATTCTTAGTGAGTATATACTTGCATGACCATATAAGACTTTGACATAAATCAATGCAATGAGAACATTCTCGCATTAAACCCCACTATTGTGTAGTGTTTAAAAATTTGGAATTGGTTTTGGAATCTCTCTCCCTACCATATTCAAGATTGGCCAAATTGATAGCCGAAAAATAAAAATGAAGCATAAAAGACAAACATCAAATTATACAATGAGAACATTCTCGCATTAAATCCCACTATTGTGTAGTGTTTAAAAATTTGGAATTGGTTTTGGAATCTCCCTCCTTACCATATTCAAGATTGGCCAAATTGATAGCCGAAAAATAAAAATGAAGCATAAAGGACAAACATCAAATTATACAAAATAATACCTTTTTCTACAAAGAAAAGCACACAATAAGACCATTTATTTTTTAGTGCAAGGAGGTCATAAATCTTGTTGACTTCTAAAAGTGAAATTGGGGGGCCCAGGATATGTCAGTGAATGGTTACAGAGTTCAAAACAAAATTCTTCAGACTTTGTGACACTTCAAGACGTGGAGTTTCACATCTAATGGCTATGATTGATTGTGACTTTTATGTATTAAAAGTAAATGGTCTTATAGTACATAATTTTCTAAAAATATATTTTACAAATGGAAAATTAGTGAGGATTGGACTTTCAGGATATTTTTGAGAGAGGCAGCTTAATGACCTTTCATATCCAATACTTTGGATCTAGATAGGTGATTTTTCAACCCCTATAGTGCTTTAAAAATAAAATAAAATAAAATAATACAACTGCCCTTTGGAAGAAACTCATACCAAAGCTGGCACGGTGGCAAGATTTTTTTAATGAGTTTGATATGGTGCTTGAGTATAAGCCTTGACAGACGAACTACGTGGCTGATGCCTTGAGTAGGAAGGTAGAGTTGGCGGCACTTTAGTGTAAAGAAGTGGCAGCCACTAGCAAGCTTGAAACCATTGGCTAAGAGTCTCATGCATCATAGGCAAAACTTGGCAATTTTGGAAAAGGAAAAAGAATATTTTTGACAATTCAACATTAAATTTTCCTAAAAGAAATTTCTAAAGCGTGAGGTTTACATAAAGAGTAATGATTTTATAGAACCCTCCCCCACCCATGTGTATAGGACCCCTAAGGATCACAATTAAAATTGGTATAAATCTTTAAAAAAGTTATTACATGGGTGTGAGACTTGACTTTTCTATAGATCCGTGCCAAATTTAATGGTGATCCTTTGGAGTCCTACATACATGAGTGGGGGAAGGTCCTATAGGATCATTTCTCATACATAAGAGTTACATAAAATGTCGACCTTAAATATAGAAAGAATGTTGTAATATTCTACACGATTAATTTTATTTGGATGGTGTAAATTTGACACGGTTTCAAGACATTAGTGTTGGAAGTGCGATTCAGATCAAATAATCGATCATGGTCCTAGCCGATTACTCAGGCGGAGTCTAAATAACTCGGCTGATTAGTGCCGAGTACATTAGCAGCACAAAAAAAAAAGTTAAAAAAATATCAAAAATCTTAAAAAAAGCAGAAATTGTATATTTAAAGTAAGATTAAGCAAAACACTTCAAAGTGAGGTTAAAAACATAGTAAAAAATAGACTTTAAAAAATAATTTATGAGGGGGATATTTTCAAAATAATCTACAAAATTGAAAAATATAAAAATAAATATTTATTGTTAAAATAATTTCCAATCTTTACATATATTTTTTTAAAAAAATTAGTATTTTTTTAATATTCCTAAGGGTCAGTTTGGATGTCAAATAAAAAACCTTCCTATTGAAAAAAATTGTAATTTTTCTCAACCTTATTAATAAATATTATCATCTTTTTTATTAGTTTGTTGGACTGTTTGGATGGTGTGCACATATTAAAATGAGTTTCGCAGAGGGACAGGGCGCTGAAGCACGGGTGGACGGGAGGCATATTTGCAATCCTCTTACAATAACATACGTTCTCTCCTCGTACAAGTCCTACTAGTTCCATTTGAGAGAGAGAGAGAAAATTCTTGCCTCACTCAAAGCTGGTGTTGTAGTTATGTAGGCAGCCAAGCATGGTGGTGGAATGAGTTGCACCTGACATCTAAAGAGAAAAATGGCACTATAGCCAAAGCCCAAATCCTAGTTTCTACAACTCTTCTTCGTCATACATTTTCTTCCATTTCGAACCATACAACTCTTTTTCCTTAGCCATTTTACAGATATGGGATTTGGGGTTCGGTGTTGAAGCTTGGGAGCAAAAGATGGACGGTTGTCATAGATATGGGATTTGGGGTGATTGGTGTTTCGTGATTCAAGTTTAGAGAGAGAAAATAGTTTAGGGCGTTTCTGTTATTCATGAGTTTGTGAGAGACGGCCCATCTGAAAAAATTCAAATTTTTGTGAGAGGAGTGCAAATATGCCTCCCGTTCTTGCTGCTTACTTCGTGCTTGGTCTTCTTGACTTGATTTCTTCAATGAGGGAAGGGATGGGATTAGGGCTTTTGCTTGCTCCTAATGTGCAGAGAGGTGAGGAGAGGGAAAGTGCCGAGAGGGTGTGAGGGAAAGTAAGGAGAGGGAGAGGAGAAGTATGGGAAAGAGTGAAGTGTAGGGTTAGGGCTTCAATGTGCAGAGAGGTGAGGAGACGGAAAAAGGGGCGAGAGATAGAGATCAGGGTTTCAATATCCTTGCAACAACTCTCTCTCTCAAGTTTCGTTTCTCGCTCAACACAAAAACTAGAGAGAAAGAGGGCTTTGTCATAAGAACATAAAGGTGACATAGGAGAGAGAGCAGAGAGGCGAGATAGATCAGAGAGACAATAGGGACGTAGAGTAGAGAGGGTTGAGAGAGAGTGAGGTTGAGAGAGAGGATAAGAGGGGTGGAAGGAGACGAAGGAAAATGCCATAAAAAAAATGCAAATCCAACTTGAATTTTTTTGGATGGTGAATTTTGCATTAATATTATTTTATTTTTTTTTCTCTTCCAATCTAAATTCTAACAAGAGAGGGTTCCAACATAAAAACAACATTTTCTAGTAGTTTTTTAGGTGCACCTATGTAACCTATTTCCCAAGTTGTAACCCCATGTAATCTTTTTCCACTGGGACCAAAAGAAACGAACTTTTTTCATTTCTAATTCACAACTCGTGGTTAAATTTACCCTCGACGATATTATCGTCATATAAAATTGAACAAAAACCGGACACCCAAAATGGAGGGCAGTTTCGCCCTTTAATCCTTTACCTTTAAAGAGAGGGGCATATTAGTCATTTTGGAAGTAGAGCTGAAACTTCGGTTTCATTTGCCCCTGCTGCGTCTATAAATAGAGGCCCAACCCCTCTCTTTTCTTTCCTTGAGTGGCCTGCGTGCCCAGACAGCCTCTCCTCCGCTCTCTCTCTAAAAAGAACCCTAAAACGCCTAGAAGAAAAACATTCAAAAAAACGCAAAACTTTTCTGTAATCTCGCACTACGAGCTTTCACTCTCTCTCTAACTCTTAATTCTTTTCACTTTTTTTCAATCTCTGGTTCCTCTTCTTTGTCGTAAATTAGGGTTTTTCATCAATAAAGGAGCACATCTCTTGAAACCAGTCTACCTTGCTGAACTGTTAGTTTCTCTCTCAAGAATACTTTTTTCCATTCAGAGTTTTGTTTTGTTTTTTTCAAACGTTTCACCATGGATATGCGATTCCCTTATTCACCGGCTGAGGTCGCAAAGGTGAGGGTGGTGCAGTTTGGCATCCTCAGCCCTGAAGAGATCGTAAGCTCTATTACCTATCCCTGTTGAAGTTTCTATGTTCTCTGCAATTCAGGAAATTCTAGTGTCCGTATAGCTGATCATGAAATTTGGTTGAATTTTCTATGATTTATGGAATTTGGTTGAAAGCGCAAGTCTTGTGAACCATCTCCGTCATAGTTTCATAGTTCCCTTTGTTTCTGGAAAATTATAGGTTTCTTTTGGTTTTTATATTGATTTGGGTTTCTTTGGTTCTCTGCAACTGTGAGGATTTGAGGGTTTCTATGATGATTTATGGATTTCTGGTTTTCTTTTTGGGTTTCTTGCAGAGAAATATGTCGGTGGTGGAAATACAGCACAGTGAGACAATGGAGAGGGGGAAGCCAAAGCCCAGCGGTCTAAGTGACCCTAGGCTTGGCACCATTGACCGAAAGATGAAGTGTGATACTTGCACAGCAAACATGGCAGAATGCCCTGGTCACTTTGGGCATCTAGAGCTTGCGAAACCCATGTTTCATATTGGCTTTCTCAAGACTGTTCTTAGCATTATGCGCTGTGTCTGTTTCAATTGCTCTCGTATACTTGCCGATGAGGTACTATGCCTTACATTATTAACTCCATGCTCGCTGGATATGTTGCTTAGCTCTTGAGAATTATTGTTGTGGAGATTCATGAGTCTTAATGTTAATGTTGGGGTTTAAGTTGTTGGTATTCGAGTGACGTTGGTTCGAGTGTATTTGATACTGGGTTTGACCAATCTCTGTGGATTACTGTTATATCAACAATGTAGTGCATTAGTTTACTGGTATTTTGGGGCAACAATCTCTGTGGAGCTTTTGGAGGTTCATCTTGGATATGTCATTGAAGATTGCAATAAAAGCAAGTTGCTCTTTACACCAATTCAGAGAAGGAAACATGAAGAATTGATAGCTAGCAATCAAAATAAAAGATAGAATTATCGTAATCAGATTTCCATACTATTCTAGAACTTTTTTTAGGTTCACAAGTGAATTGATTGCCCTATTATCTACCCTATGGAAATGGCAGAAAAATGCGTTATTATTCTTAGTAACATTAGCAATTTTCTTAAATGCTGTAGTAATGTATCACGTACGTGAAGCACCTACTTTTTAACATTCAAGGGGTGTTATCTTGGATGAGAAAGCAGAAAACAAAAGGCGTCAGTGTCTATTTAGGTTTCAATGGAATCCATTCATCTCGATGGGATATCCATATACTATAACTAGTCTAACTGAATCTAGTGCCCTTGTTGGGTCTGTGTACCAAGAGATAAGGCCAATTATAACTCTTATATCATAAATCAGATTTCTAAAGTGATTTCGAGTTTACTCAAGTCCAAATAAGGCATTTGTGTAAGTCATTGAAATTCTTCAGCTGATTTCAAAGGAACAATAAACTTTTTTGCACACTTATATGTCTCATTTCTTTGTTCCTTATGAGTCACTTCTTTCACCACCCCTCCAACCCCCCTGCTCCTCCTCCTCCTCCTCTTCATGCATTGTATATTTCTTTTCTCATCATGCCCTTACTTGGCTTTATATTTTTTGTCTTTCAGAAATTGTAATGAGTGTTTCTTGCTTCTATAATCTGTTATAAGATTTTTATCGGTATAACATGGATGATCTCTTTTTTTCTAATTCTATGTGCAAGTTTTCTCATTCAATTGTGAAATCTCCCTGGGTCAGGAGGACCATAGATTCAAACAGGCACTGAAGATAAGAAACCCTAAAACTAGACTCAAGAAGGTTTTGGATTGTTGTAAGAACAAAACAAAATGTGAAGGTGGTGATGACATTGATGAGGACCAAGCTCAAGATTCGGAGGAGGTGGTGAAGAAGAAGAGACATGGAGGTTGTGGTGCACAACAGCCAAAAATAACTATTGAAGGTATGAAAATGGTTGCTGAATACAAGCTTCCACGCAAGAAAAATGATGAACAGGAACAAATGCTTCCTGAGCCAGTTGAGAGGAAGCAGCAGCTTGCTGCAGAAAAAGTAATGCTTCTTCTTCTCTGTCTTGCATATACTTCATCATAATCATTTTTCTTTTTATATGCATGTTCTTTTGATATGTAATTACTAATTTGCTTGCATTGTGCAGGTTCTAAATGTTCTTAAGAGGATAACTGATGAAGACTGCCAATTATTAGGCTTGAATCCCAAATACGCCCGTCCAGATTGGATGATTTTACAAGTTATGCCGATCCCTCCTCCTCCTGTGAGACCTTCTGTAATGATGGATACCTCATCACGGAGTGAGGTGAGCTTCTTGTGTGAACGTTTTAGAAACTACCTTTGCTTGTTTGAAAACAGAACTAGAATAACTTATATTCTTCATATGATGGAACTTTGCCAATTCTTAGGATTCCCGTTACTTGTATTAAAAGTAAGCTATTTTACTGTTTTTCTGGCTCCCTTGGGTTTAATAGCAACTGGAATGGGATATTCATATGGAAAATGATGCGGCTTTTGGTCATTTCAATCGAACTTGTGGCGACTTCTATTGGTTTATTGTTGAATTTCTTATGTTTTACATTGCTCAAGCTTCTTTGTTTCATATTTTGACTGAATTTGTTTGAAGTTACTGAAGTTTGGTTCCTTTTCTCAGGATGATCTTACTCATCAGCTAGCTATGGTCATTAGACACAATGAGAATCTTAAACGGCAGGAAAAAAATGGAGCCCCAGCGCATATTATCTCTGAATTTGCTCAGCTATTGCAGTTCCACGTTGCTACATACTTTGACAATGAGCTCCCTGGGCAGCCCAGGGTAGGCATGTCATGCGATCATTCTGTTTTTTTATGGAAATTAACATTTGTATAGCCTCAGACTTTTTCTGTTGTGCCCTTCAGGCCACACAGCGATCTGGGCGTCCCATCAAATCTATATGCAGCAGGTTGAAGGCCAAAGAAGGGCGTATCAGGGGTAATTTGATGGGAAAGCGTGTTGATTTTTCAGCGCGGACAGTCATAACGCCTGATCCAACAATTAACATTGATGAACTTGGAGTGCCTTGGAGTATTGCGCTCAACTTAACATATCCAGAAACAGTCACCCCATATAACATAGAGAGGTACTGGATATCTTTGCTGCTCTCTGTTTTATTTTCATTTATATGACTTGCTTGAGCTCCAGTTAGTAACTAGCTTATCGTACAGATTGAAAGAGCTTGTAGAATATGGGCCTCATCCCCCTCCTGGCAAAACTGGTGCCAAGTACATTATAAGGGAAGATGGCCAGAGGCTGGATCTCCGTTACTTGAAAAAGAGCGGTGATCACCATCTTGAGTTGGGATACAAGGTGTTTTCTTTTTAGCTCTCTTTTTTTCTTTTAAAATCATGGTCCTTTTTTAGCTGTTTTTTTTTTTTGCTATTTCTATTTATAAGTTGTGCTTATATAACTACGCATTTGGCAGGTGGAGAGGCACTTGAACGATGGAGATTTTGTGCTCTTTAACAGGCAACCCAGCTTGCACAAAATGTCCATTATGGGTCATAGAATCAAAATCATGCCATACTCGACTTTTCGCTTGAACCTGTCTGTGACTTCACCATATAATGCTGATTTCGATGGAGATGAAATGAATATGCATGTCCCTCAGTCATTTGAAACGAGAGCAGAAGTGCTCGAGTTGATGATGGTTCCAAAATGCATAGTCTCCCCTCAATCTAATCGGCCAGTGATGGGCATTGTCCAAGATACACTCTTGGGATGTAGGAAGATCACCAAAAGGGATACCTTTATCGAAAAGGTAACAAAATCATAAATTCTCTCTCTTTATTGTGTTTATGTGCCTCAACGGGCTGTAGTAGTCTTATAATTTGTAGGTATATTTTGGGTTACTATAATTAAGGCCAGATATGACAAAAAAAATTTTCTGTTTCCTGGCAGGATGTCTTCATGAACATTCTAATGTGGTGGGAGGATTTTGATGGGAAAATACCTGCTCCAGCTATTTTGAAGCCAAGACCTCTTTGGACTGGGAAGCAAGTATTCAATCTTATCATTCCCAAACAGATTAATCTGATAAGGTACTCAGCATGGCACTCAGAATCAGAATCGGGCTTTATAACTCCTGGGGATACCTGTGTTCGAATAGAAAGAGGGGAGCTTCTTTCTGGAACTCTTTGCAAGAAGACTCTTGGGACATCATCTGGAAGTCTTATTCATGTTATCTGGTAGGCCTGGTTTCATAATTTACTTATGAACTGTAATTTAACACACAGACCTTTTCACAAGTGTTACTAAACTTTTGCCTTACGATTCAGGGAAGAGGTTGGACCAGATGCAGCCCGTAAGTTTTTGGGGCATACACAGTGGCTTGTTAACTACTGGCTTTTGCAGCAAGCGTTCAGTATTGGTATAGGGGATACAATTGCCGATGCTGCAACCATGGAGAAAATCAATGAAACCATTTCCAAAGCTAAGAATGAAGTCAAAGAACTCATCAAAGCTGCACAAGAGAAACAGTTGGAGGCTGAACCTGGGCGAACTATGATGGAGTCATTCGAGAACAGAGTCAACCAGGTAAATTGAATATCTTCATGTTGGAAAAGTTAGCTTTCTGTATGGATATCCAAAATCTCAAAGCTTCTAGTTGCCCAAAAACAAGAAGAAGAATTATACCTACTGCATCAAAGAAAAGAAGAAAAACTTAACTTGCTTTCTCGATTTTTGCAGGTGTTAAATAAGGCTCGTGATGATGCTGGTAGCAGTGCCCAGAAGAGTTTATCTGAGAGTAACAACCTGAAAGCTATGGTCACAGCAGGTTCGAAAGGAAGTTTCATCAACATTTCACAGATGACTGCTTGTGTGGGGCAGCAAAATGTCGAGGGAAAGCGGATCCCGTTTGGATTCAATGACCGCACACTACCCCATTTTACAAAAGATGATTATGGTCCTGAAAGTCGTGGCTTTGTGGAGAATTCATACCTTCGTGGTCTTACCCCCCAAGAGTTCTTTTTCCATGCCATGGGTGGTAGAGAAGGTCTAATAGACACTGCTGTGAAAACTTCTGAGACTGGGTATATACAGAGGCGGCTTGTAAAGGCTATGGAGGATATTATGGTTAAATATGATGGAACTGTGAGGAACTCCTTGGGAGATGTCATCCAATTTCTTTATGGGGAGGATGGTATGGATGCTGTTTGGATTGAGTCTCAGAAGCTTGATTCATTGAAAATGAAGAGAGCTGAGTTTGAAAATGTCTATAAGTATGAGATTGACCAAGAGAACTGGAGCCCAAGCTATATGTTGCCTGAGCATGTTGAAGATTTGAAAACCATCCGGGAGTTCCAAAATGTGTTTGATGCTGAAGTCCAGAAGCTAGAAGCTGACAGGCACCAGTTGGGCACTGAGATCACCACTACTGGTGATAACTCTTGGCCCATGCCTGTGAATCTCAAGAGGCTGATTTGGAATGCTCAGAAAATGTTTAAGGTTGATTTAAGAAGACCTTCTGATATGCACCCAATGGAGATTGTGGAAGCAGTTGATAAGCTTCAGGAAAGACTTAAAGTTGTTCCAGGTGATGACCTGATGAGTATAGAGGCTCAAAAGAATGCTACACTCTTTTTCAACATACTCCTTCGTAGTACTTTTGCTAGCAAGCGTGTATTGAAAGAATATAGGCTCACTCGTGAAGCTTTTGATTGGGTTATTGGTGAGATAGAGTCTAGATTCTTGCAGTCTCTGGTGGCACCAGGTGAGATGATTGGTTGTGTCGCCGCTCAGTCCATTGGTGAACCTGCTACGCAGATGACCCTGAACACCTTTCACTATGCTGGTGTGAGTGCAAAGAATGTCACACTTGGTGTTCCGAGGTTGAGGGAAATCATAAATGTCGCTAAGAAAATTAAAACTCCATCATTATCAGTTTACCTAAAGCATGAAGTCAACAAAACCAAGGAGAAAGCCAAGAACGTTCAGTGTGCTTTAGAATACACCACGCTTCGCAGTGTGACTGAGGCAACAGAAGTTTGGTATGATCCTGACCCCATGAGCACTATTATTGAAGAGGATGTTGATTTCGTGAGGTCTTACTATGAAATGCCTGATGAAGAGGTCGCCCCAGAGAAAATCTCGCCTTGGTTGCTCCGTATAGAATTGAACCGAGAAATGATGGTGGATAAGAAATTGAGCATGGCAGACATTGCAGAGAAGATTAATCTCGAATTTGATGATGATTTAACCTGTATCTTCAATGATGACAATGCTGAAAAGCTCATTCTACGAATCCGCATCATGAATGATGAGGCCCCAAAAGGGGAGCTCCAAGATGAGTCCTCTGAGGATGATGTCTTCCTCAAGAAGATTGAGAGCAACATGCTCACTGAAATGGCACTCCGTGGCATACCTGACATTAACAAGGTGTTCATCAAGTCCGGTAAAATCAACAAATTTGATGAAAATGAAGGGTTTAAGCCTGAGATAGAGTGGATGCTTGACACTGAAGGGGTCAATCTCTTGGCTGTTATGTGCAATGAGGAAGTTGATGCCACAAGGACCACAAGTAACCACTTGATCGAAGTGATTCAAGTTCTTGGAATTGAGGCAGTGAGGAGAGCTCTATTGGATGAGCTTCGGGTTGTGATATCATTTGATGGGTCTTATGTGAACTATAGGCATCTTGCCATTCTTTGTGACACCATGACATATCGTGGCCATTTGATGGCCATAACCCGTCATGGCATTAACCGAAATGATACAGGCCCCATGATGAGATGCTCATTTGAAGAGACTGTGGATATCCTTTTGGATGCTGCAGTATATGCAGAGGCTGACCATTTGAGGGGTGTGACTGAAAATATCATGCTTGGGCAGCTTGCTCCCATTGGAACTGGAGATTGCGCGTTGTATCTGAACGATCAGATGCTTCAACAAGCCATTGAACTCCAGCTTCCTAGCTACATGGAAGGCATGGATTTTGGCATGACGCCATCTCGCTCACCCATGACAGGGACCCCATATCATGAAGGCATGATGTCACCTTATCTTCTCAGTCCAAACATGCGATCCTCACCAATAACTGATGCCCAATTCTCTCCTTATGTGGGTGGTATGGCATTCTCACCATCATCATCACCAGGATATAGCCCTTCATCACCAGGCTACAGTCCATCATCTCCAGGATATAGTCCCACATCTCCTGGCTATAGCCCCACATCTCCAGGGTATAGCCCCACATCCCCCGGTTACAGCCCAACCTCTCCGACGTATAGCCCTAGCTCTCCTGGCTATAGCCCAACTTCTCCTGCTTATTCTCCCACAAGCCCATCTTATTCTCCCACTTCACCGAGTTATAGCCCCACGTCACCAAGCTATAGCCCCACATCCCCTAGCTATAGCCCCACCTCACCGAGCTATAGTCCTACATCTCCGGCCTATAGTCCTACGTCTCCGGTTTATAGCCCTACCTCTCCAGCCTATAGCCCTACCTCGCCAGCCTACAGCCCAACTTCGCCTGCTTATAGCCCAACCTCGCCTTCTTATAGCCCAACTTCACCTTCCTATAGCCCTACATCACCTTCCTATAGCCCAACCTCACCTTCCTATAGCCCAACCTCACCTTCATACAGTCCCACTTCACCTGCTTATAGCCCCACTTCTCCTGGTTATAGCCCTACATCGCCAAGCTATAGTCCGACCTCCCGAAGCTATAGCCCAACTTCTCCGAGTTACAATCCCCCTTCGGCGAAGTATAGTCCCTCTCTTGTTTATTCTCCAAGCAGTCCAAGAATGTCTCCTTCCAGTCCTTACAGCCAAACATCTCCAAACTACAGGTAAACACAAATAACCCACGGGTATTCTCATGATTTTGGTTTCTTTCAAATTCCCTTATTTGTTTCATGAAATGATGTCTTAGGTGTTACTAACTATTGTTTTCCCTGTTGTAGCCCAACTTCACCCTCATATTCACCAACATCTCCATCATACTCCCCGCCAAGTCCATCATATAGCCCTAGCAGGTAATGGGCTCTATACTGCATAAGATTTCTTTATTCTGTCATGTTGAGATAGTTTCTTCTTGTAGTAGGCAAGTGCATCTTTGCCCGTAATTGTTGCATGTCAATAGAGTATATATTTTGATATTTATTCATAGTTGTTTGACTTGTATCATTTTTCTGGTATTGGAAGGTTTTTATTAAAAAAAAGGAAAACTGTGGGATTGGTTGTGAGCAAATTCAAGTGAGATAAATCATGAGATCTGCCTAATTACAAACAGGCAAAAGGAGAGAAAACACTAACCTCCCAACTCTCCACTTGAAAAGGATAAAACTTAGCATTTAACTGAGGCCGATGTTTGTTACTTAGTTATTTACTGATCTATATGGTTATATTTCAATGCAGCCCTCCTGAGTACAGCCCAAGTTCTCCAAATTACAGGTGCCATTAATCAATCCCTTTCTGAGCAGTAAGCACTACTTATCTGTTTTATTTATAATTTGCTTATTAACTTGGTCTTTTTGGGTTTCAGTCCAAGTCAGGGTTACTCGCCAACGTCCCCTGGTTACTCTCCATCATCCACGAGCCAATACACGCCTCAGTTCAGCAACCAGGATGATGGGAGCACTAGATAATGCCTATGGGGGAGGAAACCTTGTTTCCAGCTTC